GTAGAAGCTGAGAATTTGAGGTTTATGGTTTACTCTTTCTTATTCCCATCCAGCTGTGATGTGAAGTCTTCCCACTCACTTGTTTTTTGCGGGCTAATATTCACCGAGTTTGGCATTCATCTTGCCTAACAGTAGTTATTAAAAAATTACATGGTTATCTAAGCAAGTAGTCTGGGCCGCCTCTGTAGTCAGTGGTGAGACTCGGGCAGGGTGATTCATTCCATCCTCTCAGGTATCACCCTCTGGAGGTGCCCAAGTCTCCGCAGGGAGACAGATGGCTAAGGTTAGGTGAGGTGAACCTCAACCCCAGTGCTCAGCAATAACTGCTTGGCGCATGCCCAGGACACCTGGGGTTCCCTGGGGAAATCACCCATCCAAGCGCTAGTTAGAACTTGCACCTTTTAGCATCCAGAATTAAAGGAGTTTATGTGCTTTCTTTTGGTCCAGCGTACGTGTAGGTTTTGTGTGTAATAGGAAAGACTGCCCTATGTTTGACCTACATACTTAAAACACAAATACAGCCTTAAATTGCATATTCAATATTTTTATACATCTGCTGTCTGTGTGAACATGCACATATTTTCTGCATAATAATATTCAGATATATGGTTTTCTGACATTTTATTATTAAAGTGCTGGCAATATGCTCAAAGCTTTACAAAATACAGATAAAGGCAATTCCTGTCAGAAGGAGGTCATAACAAAGATGAACATTAGATTCATAGGGAGTGAGAGACCAGAAGATTCTGGCTTTACTGTTTGTTTTTTAACCTTCCTTAGAAAATGAGGCTTCTGTGTTGCACTGTGGGTGAGGTGTGGTGGGTAGCTGTCCTCTCAGTGACTTTTGGACTGGTTGACCAGCTGCAGCCAAATATAACCAAAGAGCAGGTTGTCTCAAGGGACAAAGCTCTCTGAAGAAAGGCAGCTATTTAGAAGAGAGCATGCCCTCACTGAGGAGAAGGTACAGTGTGATTCAGTATTAGGCACTAAGGGATCTGCATGGGAATCTTGTGTGGAAATCTGCATGTGGGAACAGCATCACCTGTCAATGATGTTGTGCTAATCCCTAGGCAGTCGGTCAAGGAGACCCATAGGAAGCAACACATTGCCAATTTTGTTGCTCAAGAAATGTATTTTATGCTAGCAGTGGCCTTTATCTTTGAATCTTCCTTAAGAATGGAAGATTTAAAGAGTTCTCCCAACCATGGGGACAAAGCTTATTAACTGGGGAAAGAAGCAGTGGAAGACAGAAAAGAGATGAAGCTGAGGGTTGGTAGAATGAAAGTGAAAACAAAGCAGAATTTAGTATTTCTACAGGCCTCTGCCATTTTCTATGTGCAGAAATATCTATCAATTCTATTCAATATTACATTAAAATTAAAAATATTTTTCTCTTAAGTACTGTGTTCTTGGCTATTCTTAGCTGGTGAGGGCATCTCCGATTAGCTGTCCGTTGTGGATTTCTACCTTGTTCCCTGTGATAGCTCCGAGTGACTTTGTGGGAAGGAGGAAACCTCCCTCATCTGCTCCGACATTTTTTAAGGTACAGCTTTATCAGCTTATGAGAAGAGGTGCTAGATACAACTGTCAGGAAAAGCAGAGGAAAGAATTTGTTGGCCAAATAGGTCAGTTCCTGGCCTGGATGTTCCTACAGGTACAGCTTTATCAATTTGCTTTATCAACAACAGGCAGTTCCAGGGTGCAAATCGTTTCCACCCCTGTCTGCTGATGGTAAAAATTAGGAGTATGTTTATGAGCTATGGAGCATTCCTCTGATGTACATGAGGTCTGTTTTGATTTTGATGCTGATGCAAACTTCTCTGTTAGCTTCTGACTATTCTGAAGATGAGAAGAGAGGGTCCAGGTTTCTAATTTGAGATTTTCTTACTACATTTCCTTGGTCTTTCTCAGCACAGGGACAGGTAGGCTTAGGTTGTTGAACTGGGTGGGATGAAGCAGGTGCTGTGCTTCTACCCCACACACAGCCTCAGCTGTCCCTTGGGGCTCTGGGTCATCCTGTGCAATGCATGTTGCTCAGGACTATGTGTGCAAGATGCTCTGTGGATCTCTTTCCAGCCCAGCTTGTGGACTTTTAGGCAGGCTATTTACTCTGTCTTGATGCTATTTTGGACTTGATCTTCCCAGGAAGCCTTTCCAGAGATAGCTGGAGGAGAAGGAAACACCCTGGGAGATAGCAGTGAGAGTGTTTTCAGTGTGCCTGCCCACCTGCCCCACAGCAGCCCCTGGAGTGGTGGAAACTTTCTGATCAGTGGAAGAACTGGCTGGGTTACAGACTGCAGGGAGTAGAAATGTCTGCTGCTTTCTTCTACATTTCCTCTTCCACCCTAGTCATATCTTGGGTGATTACCCAAGATCGTATCACCCAGGACATGCTGCGCTTGCAGTTGGTGAGGTGTATCCCTAATTTCCATCTTTCTCTAAAAAGTGAGGTACTGGCCACTAGATTTGATTTACAATTAAATAGCAAATCCTACAGTATATTCCCAGGACCTCAGGAGTGATAAGTCATTTGAGTTGTATTTTTAATAGATTGTTATAAATCATTTTTATATTGCTGTAATTGAATGAGGTGCTTCAGAGAAACAGAAGATTGTACATTTTCTGCCCCTAGGAGTTTTCTTGCTAAGTATATCTTGAGGTACAAAAGGTACTTTGTGTAATTTTATGCAGTGTGAGCCCTTGCTACTAATGACAGCGCTATAAATGTGGCCCATATCCTGAAACAACTTAATGTGTGCTTAACGTCGAGGATTTAGCGTGCCTCCGGATGAGTACGGTGATTCATGCAGGAGAATACAAAAGGCTGCCTTGTCGGCTGCACCACCTGCCCTCCCGCCGGAGATGGCTGCCCTGCCGGAGCGCCAACAGATGCAAGGGTGTGCTAGCTTCAGCGCCGCAGCAGCTCGCAGGCCAGCGTATTAGCTCAGGACTTAGGAACAGCCATGCTAGGTCAGCCCAAAGGTCCATCCAGCCTAGTGTCATCAGGTTTCTGACAGTGACCAGGGAAAGAGCAGAAGGAATAGGGCACACGCAAAGTGACCCGTCCTCTGGCATATCATCCCAGCTTCTGACAAAGAGCATTTTAGGGACTTTGTGAGCCAAAGTTTGTTTAATGGGCTGATGGACCTGTCTTCCATGAGTTTAAGCTTAAACTGAAATCGATATACTTGCAGTGTGGTCGTATTCCAGCCTGGTTAATTCCATTCTGCATTTTCAACTTCCCTTGATGCAACTTCAGATAAAGCATTTGTGACCTAAAGCTGTGGTGTAGTGTTTGCTAGTGCAATTTTGTAGCAGCTGCATTCCACCCCAAAGATCGGTGCATTTTGGCGGTAAGTGATCCTTAGATTTAAATAATCTATAATTCTTTGGAGCATGTTTTGGGCTTGTAAAAGGTGTTATACAAATCAATGAATAATTTTCACTCACCATTGTTTGTAATATATTCTTAGTTCTCAGCTGAAAATAAAATTTCTTTTTCTATTGATTTTCTTCTTTTATGTTTTGCCAAATTGATTTTTCTTTTTCCTAATGGAGCAGAAACTAACATATCTGGATTTCAGTTACTTCACCCTTTCTGCTTTAGCATCGTTTGGGATATCAGAAGGAATAAAAACAGCTCTAAGGAATAGTATTCATTCATTAACTTCAAGGGAGCTGACACTGTTTTAATCCATTTTAAGGGAGAGTGTATCTTTCGGGTTTTTAAATTTCATCAGTGGATTTGTAGGTGCTCTCTAAACAGGTATTAAAAAGACAAGTATAAATATGATGTTATGACTTGGGAGGGTGAAGTGGGAGAGTTAAGCAGAGTTTAAAGCAGGACAGATTGCTGGGTATCAGGAGAAAGGTTTGGAGCTCTCACTGAAAATGCGGACAGGGTTTTGCAGGGTTTTGAAGATGCACTTCCATTTATGCACACCACAGCCCTTCTCCATTCAGCCAGAACAGCAACAGGGTAAGTATTCTTATGGAATTTTCAGATCAGCTTTGATCAGGAAGAATCACAGTTGTCTTGAAATATGCCATTCCTGCCAAAGTATGAACCTCAACTTGGGGCTTGGTTTTGTAAAACGCCAAGCACTTCTTTCTGTTTAGGAGATTAAGGGGTGCCTTTGAACATCAGGTGGCTGAGAAACAACCTGAGAACTTCTGAAATGTTTAGCCTGAAAAGTTTGTGAAAGACTAGATTATTTCCCCAAAATAAATAGTATTATCTGAAGTAAATAGTGTTATCAGCTTCTGAACCAGTGTTCATTAAGAAGCTCAAGTGTGATTGGAGGCTTAATACAGCCAGTCACTGCAGGATAATAGCTCAGGCTACAGTAGAGAAAAATGAGATCAGAAAATACTGAGATAAACTAAATGTTTTTGAATTCATTTGGTCTAATGAAATTCAACCCAGGGTAGAGAGAGCCAGGGAACTGGATGAAACAATCCCAGAAAGTTTAGTGTTTATCTCCAGAAGTCATGGAGGACAGGGGAGGTTCTGGAGGACATAAAAAGTGAAGAGACAGTGTCTACCCATAACAAGGAGAAAAAGCTGAATCCAGGGATTTGTAGTCAAATCAGGTACCTGCCAATACATGGAATAAACAGTCAAACAATCAAACATAAGCACCTCAAAGGTAATGAGGATATGAGCAGAATAGCCAGCATGGATTTGTCAGTAGAAAATCATGTGAAACCAATCTCTTTGCCTTCTGAGACAAGGCAACAGACCTTGTGGGTAGGAAAAAAGCAGTGGGTGTCATGTGTCCTGATTTTAATAAAGTTTTTTATACTGTTTTACAAGACACCGTCATAAACAACCGGAGAAACCAGGATAAGAAGAAACTATTAGGTCAGTGCACAGCTGGTTGGCAAGCTGTAGTCAGAGAGCAGTTACCAATGATTAACTGTGAAACTGGAAGGGGATTTTGAGCAGGGTGCTTTGAGATCTGTGCTGGGCCAGTGTGTTGTGCTGTTTTCATTAACAGGTGGAAGAGTGGAAAGCAGAGGGTTCTTGTTCAGTTTGCAAGCTGCGACAGGCTGCGGGCCAGGTGGAGAGCAGGTTCGGAACGCAGAGTGGCCTGGAGAAGTCGGAGGAGTGGCCTGGACAGACTGGGATGTGGACGGCTGCAAGGCTCTCCTCTGTTGAGGTGGGAACACTCAACGGCGTTAATGCAAGGATAAGAGATGACTGGCTAAGAAGCTGTCCTGAAGAGAAGGATCTGTGTCTTGGAATGGATCGTCTTAGAAGAGGTTACATGTGAAATGTGGCTCAGTAGAGTGACACGCTTTAGAGCAACTAGAAACATGATTCAAGAGAGAAAATTGAACAAATTGGGATTGCCTAAACTAAAGAAGAGAGAAGCAGCATGGTAAGTCTTGAAAGGTGATTGAAAAGCAGAAAGAAATAATCTGTCCTCTTTGTCTACTGGGACAAGGGGTAATGGGCTTTAACCCCAGTGAGAGACATATCTTAGATGCCAGCAAGATCCTTCTACTAGTGATAATTGAAAAAAGGGGAAATAGGCTGCTTGGAAGCTTACCAAATGTCCACCCCTGGAGGTTAGACAGATATCAGTCCAGAATAATGTGGGTCTAATCCATCTTGCCTTTGGGAGATGGAGATGGACTAGATGACCTCCTGAGACAACTTTCAGACTCAGTTTATTTCTTGAACTTAAGAATCTTTTAATTTCATTTTAATTTATTTTCATTTTAGTCCAGATAAGCCCACCTAGTCTATGAAGAGTTAAGATTTTCTCTGTTCCTTGGTATCTTACAGAATATTGTTAGCATTTAGCATCAATTAAAATGGCAAAGTCTTATGATTCGCTCTCCACCTTTGCTCAGCCTTACCCATTACTCTTGAACCAGTTAAATAAATATGGTTTAACTGCAGTCTACTGAATAAATGTTCTCTCTTTCTTTCTCTGTATGTATGTCTGTACATATATAATATCTATATATATATATTTGAAATTATGATTCCATTTATCCTAAGTTTCTGGAATTTATTGATTTTTTTAACAGTGTTTAAATTACATCCACTTTTATGGAGACAAATCTGTTGGAGAATTAAACAGCAAAGTTTTCTCCAATCTATAAACATGACAGGGGGATGATTTCCTCTCATTTGCTAAATATACAGCTCCTTAGTCGGAGACATAAATAAGAATGTTGCCTAAGTAGGTCAGATTTGAGCTAGGGCTTTTCAAAAGACTTGAAAGCACCCACCGTGAATATATACTTCAAAGCCAGAACCCATTTTTTTGTGCACATTTTGTTCCCGAGAAGTTTTCCATCTGTTCTAATGTCATGGCTTTGCCACAGTGGCTTGTCCTCAGACTCTGTATCTCTGGCAACTCATATGCTTTACTTTTTAATGCGGCAGGTAAAGGAGATAATTGGAAGACCTTCAGAGCCAGGGTGGGGGGGTGGGCGGGAGGGAATGGGTAATCTTTCACTTCTAAATGGAGACGAAGGACAGACTTCCTCTGCTCCTTGTTGTTAGATAGCTAGTTTGATTGGATGCCAGGAGCTGAAAGGAGGGAGTGTGCATTTTGAAAGGCTTTTCGAGGAGCAAATCTGAAATTAAAAGACAGATAATATTTATAGAGGTTAGTGAAGTTCACTTCACCCCGCTCTCTGTAGCAGAGCAGTTCCAAATTCAAGATTCTTGATGGATTTAAACCCTTTTTCATCAGCAATAGTCCGACATGATCTGCCTGTCACTTTTTCAAACGATGCCTTTCTGACTTCTCCATGTAGCTCTGAAAGGGGAGGAAGCTTCCTCACTAATATGTCACTCAACCCACCCACCCAGACACCCACAGCTTGTTTGAAGCCAGCATAGGAAAAAAAAGCCCACCACACCACACGCCCTGGATTGTAGCCATGCTGAAGAAAGCGCTTCTTTAAATATCATTATCAGGGATCATTGGTCCTAGGGGTGAAGCCAGAAGTAAACCAGGTACTTACTCATATCTCAAGCCACCCCTCAGTCTTACGAAACAAACGGAGCTGTGCTTTTGCTATTTTACCTGCAAATCAGTGACAGCATTACTGTGTGTTATATTTGCACAAGACTTTTTATTTATTTGAAATGTAGAGTGCCCACCACTCACCCAGGAACTGCTGGATCACCGCTGGGTGCTGTGCAACTCATGTGTCGCCCTACTCAGCGCCCAGTTAGTGACACCTCTGTGAGGGCCTGAGGAACAGGGGAGATGTCCATGGCTCCGGGGCTGGCTCTGCAAGGAGCTGGCTGCTGTGCCATGGCTGATGCAGCAGCGCAGAAGATGACACAAAAGGCAGAGAATGGTTTGTGAAGGAACCAGATGCCAGCAGGACAGTGATTGCTGGGGTAACAGGAGGGCTGCAGACCTAAAGACCAGGTGCATGTGCCTGAGTAAGTCCATAGGGATGGACAAAAGGGCTGAGCTCAGCTGTGAAGGTCTGCAGGTCCCAGGACTGTGCCTGGAAGAAGACTTGCATGAGGCATAAAGAGCCCCTCTAGTGTCTTTGGCATATTGGCCAGGCTCAGTGCCCGGGGAGCAAAACCTCTTTCTAAATGTTTGAAGAAGGTCTTCTGGGGCTATCTGCATCTTCACACCCTGCAGCTGATAACATCCACCATTACCACCACCCTCGGTTGCAGACAACCCTGAGACAAATGAGTACATTTAGTACATCACCACTCACATATATAGCAACTCTTTGGGCAACGCTTGTATTTGCTGGTCTCTTAGGAAAAGGCAAATGACCTTTCTTCCTGCATCTCAAAGTGCCTTCCTGACACAGACCTAGCAAACCTGTGAAACAGTCAAGATTCAGAGCAGGATGGCCTGTCACCTGGTTCACAGCAACACCTGGCAGAGGGATATGTGAAAACATACTGTCATGTACAAAGAAGTTTATCTTTCACCCATTAGGAAAAGAAAGAACAGCGTAAGAATTTACTTCAAGAGACTGGGCAATTAGGAGCAGAATAAATATGAGTCATCTGTCCAGCAAAAGCTGTGCCAGATGCAGACACAAAGTAATTCTGCATGTTAATACCACTTACGCAATGCTGGTCCCGTGACAGGGAACATTTGCTGTCAGTTTGTGAGGTGGTACATGCACATGCATGCATACACATGAACTTTGGTGTAATTTAGGGTTGTTCAGTTTGCTGATCTGCCAGCTATTCATCATAGGACATTTTTAATATGTCTCAAAGTCAATTGGAAACTTACAAAATTGGCCTCTTAGCCCACAGTTTATCAATATAGACACTGAGCATAAAGCTGGCTAAAAAATGGGATTTCAGTTTGAAGGAAATGCCATTGTTTTGAAATGTGATGTGTATTAAAGCAAGCAAACGAAAGACTAAAGGAATTTCCAGCAGCTCTGCAGGCTCTACCACTGCTTAGTGGAACAGAGAGGATGGTGGAATGCAGCCCTGCCTGTGAGCCGCTGCTGGCAGCTCCCGAGACCCCTGGCTCCAGGGCAGCTCTGCAGAAAAGGAGACCCTGAGCGCTGAACCGGCATCCCAAGTCCCAAGGCTGACCTCCAAAAACTGGAGTGAGGTTCCCAGATTGCTGAGATGTTGGCTGAGTTTGGGAAAGCAGCAACTGTTCAGGAAGGAATGAATTGGTATTTTTTTGGTCAGAAAATATCTGACCAGCTTTGCTTCAAAAGGCTTTGGCGTTACTTATTTTATTTGTGTAATGGGAAAGCTGCTGAATCCTCTCTTTCTGGAATCGAAGTCCTTAAACAGTCTGGTCTCCATCTGAGCATCAGAGCCTTTGGAGGTTGAGTATGACAGGCAGTACTGCCGACGAGAAATAATGGCCAAAGTATCCTCTGTTCTGTCAGCTCTAGGCTTGCAGATGATTCCCCAGGTGATGTTTGTAGCCAGTCAGAGAGACCTTATCTTGCTTATAAAGAAGCCCAAAATGTGAAACTGGGGGCATTTACACACCTACCTCCTTCTGCCTTGCAGAAAAGTGGCTTGCTGGACATTGTGAGGGAGACATCGAGGTCCTGGAAGTCAGAATCGGGCTGTTTCAGTGCGGGTTAAACATGAGTTCTGTCCAAAGCACTGCTAAATATGTAAGTGTGGAGGTACTAAATGTACAAGGTGCCTCAGGCTGCTTTGAAGAAGGGTGGTAGTAGTGGCAGACTTTGTGGTGCTGTAATGTGATTTACTCAGCTGTTTCGCATGCTTACTGTGACTTCATTTACCCACAGTTCCTCCTAATGTTCAGGTTGTCCAGATTGGGAAATTTGTATACTTGGGTGTGGGTATGACTCTTGAATCATAGGTCCAGGGTCACATGGAACATGCACGGTGCTGTTTGGATTGTGATCAGTTATGAAAATGCAAGAGGATGAAAGGGTTTTTTTTTGCTGGCCTGCTAATGGATGCATGTGTCTCCTTCTTCATGCTATTACAATGAAAACACCTGAAAATGAACTGGGGGTTTGAGGATTCAGGGAAGGAAAATGAGCTGCCAGTGCTGAAGGCAGCTGAGTTGAGTAGCAGGAGACAGCAATATGCTACTGCTCGTAAGGCGCTGCTGGGAGATAGGGAAACAGGGGAGCACAGAGGTCAGTGCTATTAACTCTGTGTGTTGTATGTGTGAGTGAGAGTAGGGCTAGTTCAAACTCAGCTATTAAATTTGTACTGTATTTTGCTGATTTTTTAATCTTCATTTTTAATAAAGAAGATGCACTTTTGGTAAGGGCTTGCAAGCTGCCCTGAGAGGAACTGAGTGTCATCACACTGCTGGATCTAGTGCTGATCTTGCCAAATTCAAGGGGTTGGTCCTAGTGACAGGCTCAGGGGAATGGGAGCAGCCTCTTGGGGGTCCAGATCTGCCTGGCTACTTCGCTTGACTGCTCCACTTGCCTGTGAAATGCATGAACTGTAAGCACCCAGAACACCAAAGCATAAAATAAATTCAAACTCCTCAGATGCCCAGCTCTAAAAACTGCCAGCAGCAAAGCAGGGTGAGATGGTAATCAACTTCCACGACAGCAGCTCTGTTACTTCACTACACACTGGGTGCTGTGGGAGCTTTGGTGCAATGGACTGAAAGCGCTGCTGAGGGGGGCACAGGCTGGCAGCGGGGCCCCCAGGGCCGGCGAGCACGGTGGGGTGCTGGAGGCGAGCAGCTTTGTGGGGAGGAGGTAAATAAAAGGGCACTTTGGTGCCTTCTGTGTTCCTCCTGCACCTCCAAATGTCGCAGCTGCTCGGAGAGGCTGTGAAGTAAGAAGTTTGCTTCTCCTGAGTGTTGCTGTAAACAGTGCGTACAGCAGTGTTGATTATACATCAGCTTGCTGGGCTAACTATAGCACAGTAATTAAAGGGGTGAGAACATTTTGG